TAATACCACTAAAACCAACTAACAGGGAGCCATGAACAAATGAAGGCTCTCTCTGATTCTTTTAATCACAGGGAGTTTATTGACCTTGGTCTCATGCTGGAAATGCCAAATTAGACTGTATAGCCAAGTGTACCTCAAATAGCACTGATGTTCTAGTCACCTAAAAAAAAAAAAAAAAAAAAAAGACAGTTGACTATTTCTGAGAGCTTATTATGAACATATAATGCATAAAATGGATGGAACAAACATCTCAGTAACTCATTTTTCTTTTCAAACTTTTAGGGAAAAGTGGCCGAAAGCAAGAAGCGTTTTTCCCTTATAGCAATTTGTAAAGTAAAAAAAAGGGAGTGGGGGGGTAGGGGTGGGAAGGATTCACTTCAGGTCTCCAGCAAATGTATTAGGGTAAAAACAGGAGATATAAATCTCTGGCACACTGCTTTATTTTTATCCGGATGTCTACATAAATTCTGATATAAAGATCAAAATAATAAAATTACCTAATTATATCTAATGCATTTACACTGAGGCTCAGAGTTGATAAAGTTAAAAAAATTCTAAATAATGTTTTTTATTTGAGGAACTTTTAGGTTTCTAACATATAAGATATTATTTAAAACATTTAAAATTTCAAAGATAAATTTATACCCGTACAAGTTTGGTGATAAAATTAATTCCAAACCAGGTTCAACTTTCCATCTTTCCTCAAAAAAAATTCTTAGATTTAAATCAAACCGATTTCCTTTGTCAGTGGAAAAGGCAGAGCTAGAATACCAGTATATGCATAATAAAATATTGATGACTCTGAGTTTAAAAAATAAAACAAGTTTATTTTGAAAGGAAAAAATACCCAAGGAATTATGATCAAGGCAAAAAAAGTTACTACCTCTCTCTACTTAGCCACATACACATGATCTGTAAAGCCACAAAGGTTTGGGAGTACTGACCTAGAATTCATATCACTTTCACAACTCCAAGATTACATGTTAACAAAACTAAATGGTGTCAATTATCTGCTACTCTAACATGAAATGTTTAATTTACAAGTCCCTACAAGAGTTTTAAAAGTCCAAAGAAAACATATGATTATGTTAAAATTTAGTATATACTCTGGGTGAATTATAGAGACATTTTTTTTTTCTCATCAGAACGTAACACTTTAAATTGGTGATACTCAGAACATAACAGAAGCAAAGCATTGAGAATCAATATTCTTAAAGTATGCTGGTGGTATTTGCCTCCGTATTATTTTACTATTCCGTTAATGCCAACTAGTAGGAAACATGTCTAATTACCCCTATCATCATTTTGGCAGCTGGTCAAAAGGAACCAAGAACTTTTCAATATACACACAATATTTAAAAGAATATTCTCATTGGAAGCACCAAACCATTTATAGCATGCTTTAGATTATGAGGCATATTCTTATATTGAGTCATCTCTATCTTTGTAAGTGTAGCTGCTATGGGAGAATGTAAATAAAGTTTTATTACAGAAAGTCTCTTTAAAAGTTATTCAAAAACTTTTTACATTCTTTAAGAAATTAAAGACAAATAACTATATTCTCTTTGACTTAGATATTCATTACTCAAAGTTACTTAGTGCTGGTTCAGAATTCAGCCTAACATTGAAAGGATCACTCTATTACTATATTTAAGTGAAATCCAGACAACTTCCCAAATTTTTAAAATATGGAAGATGCATTTAGGCAAATGTTATCATATACTTCTATTCAGATTGATATTTCTCGGTTCCTATTTCAGAGATTTGTGCCAATTCAAAACATAAAATTGGTTTTTTGGCCCACCACCCAATAAATACTAGCAACTAAAAAGTTCCCAGCATTTGAAAGTTGAATATCCACTTTCTAGAAGCAAATACGTAGGACGACAGATTCTGATAGCAAATAAATTTAGTATTTTTTCCTCTGTTACTCTAGATCTATGGATGCTAATGGTAGAGTCAGTAATGAAAACAATAAACTCCTAGGACTACACAAGTTACAATATAAGGTCTTTAAACCATGAGATCAAGATATAATACTTAATTCTAATTATATTTAAACATAATTTCAAATTCAACTCCATTAGTATAAACTAAAACATATTTACTTCATTTTGACACAGAATCCCTTATTAGGAGCTTAAGTGACCTTATCTTATCTAAGAAAAAAAATTTTGATCTGTTTAAGTTGCAATGAAAGTTTTCAACTTTTTTCCAAAAGATTAAGTCTTCTGATCTTATTAGTTTAGCAAGTCCTAAAAAAAAAAAAAAAAATAGGACTTATATAAAACCAGAAGGCATGGTTAGCTTACTTTACAAAATGATAATATTATTATTAAAAATAAAATGTAAAACATTGAATTTATAAAACTTGAAAATTCTCTAAAATGTTTCTTCACTATCTTTTGAGATAAACTGTGTTTATTTCTAAACTAGTTATTTTGCATTGGCTGCTTTTAAATTACATACAAGCTGGATTTTCTTAATACATCCCCCCCCCCCAAAAATCTTCTTCAACATTTCAGAGATAAATCTACCTACCAGTCCCTACTTCTACAGTTATTTCTTAAAGTAAGTTTTACTGTGACAACATATGAAGATAAATGCACCCACAAACCCCTAAGAATACTAAAGTTAGAACTGAATCTCTTGGGAGAGGGGTACATTATCCTTTCTTCTCAACATAATCAAAATGATAATGATCAAATAAAAAGGTATTTCCACAAGCCTCGAATTAGAATACAGGCTTGAGGATACCCTTGGTATTTTAAAATTCTACAGATTAACTTTGGGCAGGTTCAAAGCCACCATGGCACCCTGAGCACAGTTTTCTACAGGCAGGGCAAATCTATTAAAAAACATGACCTGTGACAAAAATCAATGTGCTAATCTCAATCCAAACAACAGTATCAAAAGCATAAAACAGAGATAACCTAAGATAACATGTCCTCAAACTAACTCAGACTAGCTTGACAGGTTAAGAAGGAGGGGTGAGTGGGGTGTTGCTGACTCTTTCTGTTTTAACCTAGGATGACTGGAACACCCAAGTATCCAAGTAAATTAAAACGAGGAAAAGATCACACTGTGAAGTTTGGAGTGGGAAGGAAAAGACGACTAAGCACAAAATGCCCCACATTCAGCTAACCAGTTTCACTGTTGTTTTATTTAATAGGGCGCTAAACTTTAGAAACAGAAATTCTCTATTTCGTATATGCTGTTTAATAAAGCCCAGGGGGGAATAAAACCAACCAACATAATGAGCCTTGCTTTTAACACCATCACAACTGGAAAGCTTGCTCTATTTGTCTTGTCAGCTTTAATAAAAGGCATCTCCTCTAGCGGGATGGCTTCTCTTTCTTTTCCTAATAGTGGTAAGTGGCATGTCAAAGAAATAGCTTCCCATCCCACCACCCACCTTCAGAAGACAATTTTTTTTTTTTTTTTTTTAAACCAAACGTTCAGGGATGTCTCCAGTTCTGCCAGGCGGTGCAATTTAGGATTTGGGCTACCTGGGTGTAACTATCTGTCCTGGAGTAGCAGGGCAGGGTTGGGATGGAGGGGCGGGGAGACTTTCTTCTCCTCAACCGGTCGACCGCTTGTGGGGAAATCTGCCCATCTTCATCTAAGCTGACATTACTTCAAGAGGGGAATCCCTTCTAAGCTTGAATTCAGGGGGGAAGGCGGGAAGCCGGTGGACACGGCCACCCGGAGGTAGGAAGAACTGGAGGCGCCCGCCAGCCCCCTCTCTCCCATACACCCTGGGCGCGCACCAACTATGCCCTCGGCCTCCCGCCTCTCTCCTCCCAACTTCCACTCCAGCCCAGAGAAAAACCTGGGATTTTAGGTATAATTGATGCTTTTTCCTTCTTAGGCAGGCACCGAAACCAGCCAGCACCTGGAAGCTGGCGGAGGTCCCAGAGTGGCAGAGCATTATGGGCCCAGCGGGGCCGACCACTGCCCACAGGCGGGGGAGAAAGTAGGGCTCGGAGCTGCTCTGGATCCGGAGGGGTTCGGCAGACAAGCTGGACAACCCTCACTCCTCCCCACTTCCAGAATCCCTGAGCAAGGGACGTCTGCGGGTGGCCAGAGTCCAGCAGGCGCGCTAGGGCGGCCCCAGGCGCCCATCTCTAGCCTTCCGCGTACCCGGCGGGCTTCGGGGACGCCCACAAAACTGTTCCAGGTAATTGCGCGTGTTCCTCCGGCTTCACACCACCAGGCCGTGGACTAAGGGCTCCCACCTCCCGGCTCGGCCAACTCCAGCAGCTCGCTCCGCACACATGACGTAACCCGGCATTAGATCAAACTTTCTGGCACCTAGAGCCCACGGGGGGCAAGGAGGTGGGAGAATCCTCTCCCCTGCCAGGCGCGCCGGGCCGAGACTGGGCCGGGGCCGGATGATTGCCTCGCAGTTTAAAAGGAAAATAAGAGCCTAAAGCTTCCGCTTCCCAGCCCCCCTCGCTTCCCCCTGCCCGTGCACTCTGAACGCACCGAGAAAAGGGAAGAAAATTTAAAAAAAAATAAAAATAAAAAAAAAATTAAAATAAACTTTTGGGATGTTTGGCACGTTCTCCCTGCAGTCCCTGCGCACCCACGTTCCAGGCGGGAACTCTTGGTGGCGCGCACCCAGGACTCCCAGTGCCCAAGCGCTACGCTGGGATCGAGATGCTGGCCGGCTTGCCCTGGTGAGGAAGCGGATAAGTCTCGATTCCCCAGCTCCCGCCTTTTCCGAGTCTCCCCGCGCTCCGCAGAGGCAGCGGATCTGGGCTGCCCCGGGGACTCCCAGGGACTCCCGGCCTCTCTGAGGCAGCTTAACAAAGAGAGGCGCGACAGGAGCGCTTCCCGTGGGCGCCTCGAAAGCCATCAGCGCCCTGACGACGCAGGCTCCGAGGGTGCGCGCCGCCGGCGGCTGGTGCGCGCTGGTCCCCGCCGCCACTGCCGCTCCTTCCGCAGGGTGCCGAGGCCCGAGTATACCCAGCTCTCCGCTCCCCCTATTGCCTTACCTGGGGTTGCTGCTGTTCCAGTAGACGGCGTAGCGGTCGGCGACGGCCTTGGAGCCTGGGTCCTGGCTGAACACACACATCCAAAGCACCAGAAACACCAGCGTCAACATCTCCACGTGCAACATCACGCCTGGCCAGCGGCGGAGCCCCCGACAAGCCGCTCCCGGGAAAGAGCAGGGATCCGGAGGGAGGGAGGGAAGGGGAGAAAGAGAGCAGGAGCCAAATAAATATGAATAAATAAGAATGAAGAGTGGCGAGAAAAGAAAGAGGCGCACACCAAGCTGGGGAGGGGAAGGAGAACGAGAAGAGGAGACGGTGGGGGGGAGGGGGCAAGACAAACTCGCACCCCCACTGGAGGGTTCAGGAGGAAAAAAGGAATCACAAGATGGAGAGAAGCATGCGTGTGTGGTGGCGGCGGCGAGGGCGGGGGAAGGGGTGCCAAGCTGTGTCTCGAGCGGCGGCGGCAGGCCGGTCACCCCGGGAGAAGGAGGTGCGCACCGGGCCGGGCGGCGGCACCGCGGGTCGGGGCAGGCGGCGGCGCACGCTGCACAGTCACCGGGAGTTGCGCGCCGCGGCCGCGGGGAGACATACACTGGCCCGCCGGGCCCGGCTCAGCGTCGGCGCTGCGGGCTGCGCACGGCTCCGCCGCTGCCCAGGGCCCTCGCAGTGCGCCCCGCTTCGCTCCAAGTTACTTTAGCGGCCGGTGAGAAACTGCAGGAGGAGGTCTCCGTGTGGATGGAGGGCTTCGCGCCTGTGGCCCCGGAGTATGAGGACCCCCTTCCCGCGTCTCCTCTGTGCCTTAACCGGGAGACCACTGGAAATCTCGGAGGAGTCGTAGGTGCTGCGAGTTCGGGGCGGTGTGCCGAGAAGGGTGGGGATCCGGGGCCACAAACCCAGCCCCGCCGGCGTCCTGGAACTGCTTAAGCGGCAGCTCAGCGGGCGAGGAGCGGTCTTGCCTTGCGAACCTCAAAGAAAAGTTTGGCTCTTCGTGTCTTCCGGCAGGTCCCCCGGCGGAGTCGGACTGCGGCGGCGGGAGACTACACCCCAGGCGCTGTCGGAGCCTCCGGGATTTCTCGCGCGTGCTTTCCTTGGCCGGGTGTGGGTGCACCAGAGTGAATGAAGAGCAGAGGTTACGAACCAGCCAGCGAGGCGGAGCTGGGATGCCCAAACCTGCAGGACGACGCCAACCCAACTGTTAGGCTGGAGAGCGAGAGGGAAAACAATCACTTTTAAATGAATCCCTCCAACTCCTGGACGGGCTGATGTCAGTCTCCGATCCCCTTTCGGGAGCAACACTGAGCCCCCAGACGCGGTGCCAAGAGCCTTGGGTGCGCGCTCAGAAGTGTTCCTGCGACTCCAACGGGTCCGGCCCCAAGCCCGGCAACTTGTAGAGATGCATCAATCAGTTTGAAATGGGAAAAGGGGGGGGGGGGAGAGAGAGAAGGAGGAGGAGGAGAGCGAGCGAGAGAGCGCAGGAGCGAGTGGCACCTCCCGGATGACTACATCAGAAAACCTTCCTGATCCTCCTGCAGCTGCTCCTCTTTCCCTCCTTGGGCACAGCAGCAACAAGAGGTGAAAAGCACCAACCGAATCCTAAAGCCTTTGCCAGGCGGGAAAATAAACTTGAGTGCAGCGGCAGCGGCAGCAGCACGAGCAGCCCAGGAGGGATTGAAATGACTGGCGAGAAGTGGAAAGAGGTAAAAGTCAGTTTTGCGAAAGAGGAAAAAAAAAGAGAGAGAGAGAAAATGCTTTATGGGAAAAATCTCCTCGGGCACGCCCCCTCGTTAATGACCTGCGTGTAAAGCCGACAGCAACAGCGACCCAGCAGCAGCCGCCGCCGCCGCCGCCGCCGCCGCACCGGAGCGCAAGGCCGCGCGCGTGAACGTGGACGTGGGCGGCGCGGCCGTGGTGGGGGGGCGCTGGGGCGTGTAGCGCCGGGCGCGGGGCAGGCGGGCGGCGCGAGCGCGGGTGTGAGCTCCGGACCTCGCAGGGGGAGGCGCCGCCAGCCCGCACCCAGCCTGCGCTGCTGCCGCCGCGGCCCGGGTCATGTGGGCTGCTTTTTTTTTTTTTTTTTTTTTTTTTTTTCCCCTCCCCGTGCAGTTTACTTGGAAAGCGGGGGGTGGGGTGGGTGGCTGGAGCAGCCAGTCAGTGAACGGCCTGCTGTTTGCTTACAGGTCGGGGTTTTTTCCTCTCTCTTCACTCCAACAGGATTGGTCTGTTCCACGAGAAAGAGGCGTTTTCTGAATCTCCTCCCTTCCCCACGCGTCCTACCCCCCCCCTTCTCGGCCCCACCTTCCAGAAACCTGACTAATTGAATTACTGGGAGTGCCGAGGCGCCCTCTCCTCCGCCCGAACGCAGCAGCCGCACGTAACCCTTTGGATGCTGAATTTCGTCTGGGCTGAGGAGTGATTTGACATCTTTTTACCTGAGAGTGGGTTTTTTCAATTACACAGGAACCGGTTCCCATCCTGCAGCCAGCAAGCCGAAATCTGTCTCCCAGGCCCTGCAGGTGACTTGAAGTCCCCGCAGACAGGCTGGCAGGGAGCCTCAGTGAATACGTGTTCTTGTAAATCTCTGCGCTGTTCCCGACGCGCATTGCCCGGCGCTGGGTTATCTTGGAAACCTGAGCGTCTATCATGCGCCTTTCAACTCTCCTCTTCCTACCAGGGACTTAAAAGGTTCCTGAGCAGGAAGCAAGACTCTTCTTTAAAGTGATGCTCTGAAACACATTTTTTAATTGAGAAAATCACAGTGTAAAGTCATTACAATTCAGCGCGATCCTTCAGCAGGAAGGAAATGAATGCGGCCGAGGAGCCCATAAGAAATACCTTACACCTTTTACATTTCAGCCAGCCGAGGCTGGTTGGCTGTCCACTCCCCAAAGGATAAGATGCTTTCAACGAACCCGCTGCGGGAAGAATCGGAGGTCCGGACAGGACTTCCTTTATTATTTGAAAAGGCCTCGCGTACCGGACTTCTCCAGCGGGTTGCAGCGCCTTGGCCCCCGGCGCCACGGAAGCACGATCGCCTGACAGCAAGACGGCCCGAGCGCCTTGGGACGCGTCCCGCGTCCTCCAGCGCCCGGGAAGCTAGCCAGGAGCCCGGCGTTGTGGGGCACCAACCCCTCTAGAGACTCGCCCTTGTGGAGCTCAGAGGGCTCGGGCCTTCATGATATTATTCTCTCCTGCCCTTTAGGGAGGTGGCTGCCCCGGTGGGAAGCGCTGATCCCAAGAAAGAAAGGGGTTTGGTTTTGCTCCCAAACCTTCCTGTTTCCCCTTTACTTATTAGCCCAATAAAATCAAATACCACGTTCTCCCTCCTGCGCTTTACAGTTTTCTAGCTCAGACTTTTCCAGACGCTTCAGAATTGTTTAGAAGCGTCCAGACGCCCTCCAGTGGTGGGCCTGAAGTCCGCACCCAGCGGGGGTATTGCCTGCAGCTCAGCCGGGATTGAGTTCGATGGAGAACCTGGGGTCAAGATCAATAAAGACTTGAGGGAAAGGGAACAGCTCACAACGGCATGGGCATGGGATTACCTGGACGTAATGAGCTCTTGCCTAAAAGTTGAGCCGTTCCTCAGTTACAGAAAAATTTCCTGCCTGAAGAGATCCTGAAATTGTCCTAGGAGAGTAACTCCTCTATTTGCGACTAGGTGTAAATTGCAATCTGTGTAATTACAGACTCCATGACAGACCATCCCAACAAAGCAACCACCTTCCTAATTTAAAAAAAAAAAAGTAAATTCAGAATACTTGTCTATATTTGTATAGTTCACAAAATTCCAGCAGTGAGAAAGTTGGAAAACTTAAGCCAGGGAACTAAAGGATAAGCAGTTATTTTTGAAACTAAATTTTTATTTAAAACTTGATTTACTTTCACCCCCTGGTCTGTAATCTTGCTGATGTTCAAGTTCTTGGCCTATTCTAGGGTACATTTGCTTTTTTTCCTTTGCAGGATGACGCATTTCTTCCCTCAGCCTTTCTGATAGTAGCTCTAATAAGTGCTCAGATGACTGAGGCAGTTTTGCAGGAAATTATTCTGGACTCTTTTAAGGGACATGTATATCTTTAGGAAGAAGAGAATTCACACTCCTGTCATGGGGAAAATGCTGATCCTCATCAGAAAGTCTTTTCAGTCAGGGAAATATCAGATATCAGGGAGTTAGCAAGCTGGCTTCCTGTGGTGTCAAAGCCAAAGGAATAAAGAAAAAGAAATTATATCCACTTATTTCCTATTTGAAACTCATACTTCAAATGTGAAAATTCAACATATCAAAAGAATATAGATGTCCTAACATTTTCAATATCTCTAATTTGCTTAAAGTCTAATTTGCTGAAAGTCCAATTTTAAGCAGAAAAAAAAATCATACATGATGATCTTCCTTAAAATGAATCAGGGAGTTGGAATAAGACAGTAGAACTTGCAACTCTTTCAAAACATCACTCAAATGTCTATGTGAAATAATTTATAAACCTAAATCAAATGCGTCCTTCTGGGATGATACACCTAAGTAATTATTGATATTGGAGTAACTAAGAAATATGATAGATACATAGAGAATTTCAAGAGTTATTATTAACCGTTCACATCACTAGAGAATGACTTTGTCTTTTCAGGAAAATATTTAAGTGATTTGAGTTTATACAAATCAGCATTATATAAAATAACTATATTCTGATTACTCCAATGTCATGGAGTCAATGACCCTTAAGCTGGCCTTTGTAAACAGTGTTCTTCTAAGTATAGAATGAGGTTGGCCTATGAAAGAAAGAAAACAGCAAGCTAAAAACAGGAGTAAAAAGGTAGGGAGTGTTCGAAGGTTCTAAGTTAACAAGATTTGAACAGGGCTGTGGGGAGCTAAGACCTGAAAAGTCCAGTAAGAATGGACTGTAGAAGGGCTTAACTGCTATCTACAAATGTTTGGGTTTAAAGGCAACCAAATGCACTGGTGGTTTTAAAACAAGTGGCAAGTAATAATTGTTATGCCTCAACGTACAAATAGGGATGGGAGTATTTGTTTGTTTACTTACTTGTTCGTTATTTTGGGGCCTTTGAACTATCTAGGTTGGTGTTCTAACGTTGGCTAAAAATTAGAGTCACCTAGGGAGATTTTTCTTTTTTAATTTATGCATTTTTTTAAAGATTTTATCTATTTGAGAGAGAGCATGAGGTAGGGAGGGGCAAAGGGAGAAAGAGAAGACGACTCCCTACAGAGCAGGACCCAGGGATCCTGACCTGAGCCAAAGGCAGAGACACCCAGGTGCCCCACCTAGGGAGCTGTTTTAAAAAGAACAATGCCAAGACCCCACTTCCTGTTTTGGTTTGTTAGGGGCAAGGACCTGGGATCTGTGATTTTTAGAAGCTCCCAGGGAATTCTAAGGAGCATAGAAAACTGAGAATCACTGATCCAGGTGATTTATTTTTACCTTAACTACTTCAATATTTCGGGCAAAAAAGAAAATCCTGGACTTATTTGTCTGAAGTGTTTCAAGTAACGGTCAAGACAAGAATGTTGATAATTTAGAGAATGGAACTTTAGGATCCTCTCTATTAAAATGAAGTGATGCTTTAAAAGTAGTTTTCAAATGGCACGAAAGAGAATACCATCTCCGAGATGGAGTGGCAGGGGCAAAGCTCGCTTTCAAATATGTGTTAATCTTTTTTGGACTAGTTTATACTTCATTTTTGCATTAGCTCTCTCCGGGTTGAAGCAGAGTTCTGTTGTGTCAAGCGTGCAGACAAAGAAATGAAACAAGCTCGTGAATCAAGCCCCACAGTCCAAAAGCTAAGCACCTCTTGTTTAATACAGTAGTTAAATTAGAACTGATAGCCAGGAGAAATAATAAAGGAAATAAACTCAAGAACAAAGATGAAAGAAATAACAATTAGACACAAAACTTTCTAACAGATGACTAACAAAATGGCATTTTATCTAATCCTGCAATTTATCTTCCTAGAACATTTAGAATTCATTCCAAAGCCCTAAGAAACCCAGGTTCTATCACCGAACTATTTAATAAAGCCTTTGCTTCTCCTCACCTTGTTTATATAACAGGTTTCTTAGAATATTTAGAAATAACTATTTGCTAGCATTTCTCTCCTTGGAGACCTAAGGAAATGCTCCTTTTCTATTTCTGATCTAGCTGTCTCTTTTGCGTGCAACCTAAAAGTAAAACAAAACAAAACAAAACAAAGAAACTGTCTGCTAAATAGAGTGTCATGTCTCTACCTTCTGTCTTGTGACCTTCAACTTCCACCAGGAATTTTCCACTTTTGCTCATTCTTTACTTTCTGGGTGCTTCCTCAAGTTTGTTTCACGTCATCCATTCTCAGAAAGCCCGTGGATAAGTAGGAGTTTTATAAGTTGCTGCAATATTCTGAAAAAGGCATTTTTTAAATGTTTTATTTATGAACTGTCTGTTGTTGTTTT